AGGCAATACTTTTACAATTAGACAAATTTGTTATTTTCGTGACAATCACCATATAAACACGTTTCATTTGTTTACCGGTTACTACGCATGTAAACGATAAGGCTTCTTAATTAATTTATACTCACATTAAAGCATATTAAATTGTCTTTCAAACAGTATATTTGTTTTTGTGATCTGATGAATATTTCTTGAAAAAAATATTGTTAAAGTCAAAAGTTTACAGTGGGCCGATTTCTATGCACGCAAGTATATAAAGTTTACTTTCAGAAAATTATGGAAAATTTCATTGATGGCGTTGTCACGATAATATCAAGAATAATACTCTATCGCATCACAAAATTTATACAGGGAGTTATGAACAAAAGCATAAGAGGTTGCAAAGTAATGGAGGGGAAATACAAAACGAAAAAGATGAATCTATTTTTGATGATTTAAAAATAAGGTCGACAATGTTAGTGAAAGTTCTCATGCCACAGATACAGAACAAGATGACAAAGGTGAAAATGATAAAGTGTTAATATTTCTACAAGAAAAGGAAAATAATCTCCTATCAGGTGTATAGTCTTGGAACTGGGATAAAATAGGCTGAGAAGGGAGAAGTATAGTCGGTTCGCACTTAAGCCGAAAATATAATTCCCTGGCGTGAAACGGGACGCTAAAGAAGCTAAAACTCTAATTGATAGTTAGAATTTGTTTATGGATTATCAAGTTACTCTACAGCTAGTACTTACTCTACAAATACAAAGCTGTATTTGGATTACTTTATTAACCGCGAATTCATAGATCTTCACAATCAACTAGAAAGGTTTTTGGACAAATAACGGCATATACATTGACATATTTAAAAAAAGGTTCATTTAAAGAAATAATTAGGGTGTTACCTGGGTGATCATACTTAGCAATTGTGGTATATTTTTCTACAAAATATATATTCATTGTCAATTCTGGCATCAAACTTCTCTTACTACTCTACTACATAATTAGTTTGGCATCCATTGCAAAATTAGTACGCAAAGAAGTGATTTTTTAAATCAAGTTTTTCTAAGAAAGGAAAAGAAAATTAACATTTCTATATTTTGGTGTCCAATTTTCATGGTCCCCATATTTTACGACTTTTCGAAACAATTCCACCCATGGCTGTTTCTGAGTTAAAATAGAAGTATCAATAATTGTAATTGTAAGCATCAAGTTACTCCATAAAACACGAGACACGGAATATGGCGACTACGTTGAAGTATATTTAGAAACGAGAACGGAACCAATCAAAAGAGTATGTTTAAAACCGATATATTTTATGGATCACAAATCTCCAATTGCAAACGGTTTCTTACAAAATTAAGGGCTCTGGTTCGTTTTATAGTTCTTGGAATTTAATTAAGTGACTATGGAATCATATTAAACGGTTGCGTTTTCGTTTTAAAACAAAATGTACAGGGTGATGTACAAAAACTTTAACTTATGACATAACTACGAGCTCATATCTTCCCATTTGACCCAAAGTTAGATTCACAAGAAAATTAAATAGAGAACAAAAATAAAAGCGCAGAGTAAATTTTAGAAGTTTCAAGGCATCGAACAACATTTTTGAATTTCCTAATTATAGAAAATATTTTATAACGTAATGAAAACTATTGATTAAACAGAATAATAATAAATTTAAAAAACGCATAGAATATAATATGTAATATTAACAAAAAAAAGTAGTGAAAGTTTACCTCTGAGTTACATCCCCTTTATTTTTAATGACATCCGTAATTCATCGAGGAATTATTTTTACCAATTTCTGACAAACTTATATTGTAAACGAATTCCATACCTCTTGCAATTTTACCTTCAATTCGTTGACGCATCTGGCAGGATGTTTTCTCAAATCGTTTTTCATTTCGCGCCACAAAGTCTCTATCGGGGACAAGTCGGGACTGTTAGAAACCTATTCCAGAAGTGGTATGCCATAGTCTTCAATCCATTTGCAACCTGCGCCGTCCTGTTGGAAGACAAAATCATCCGATGATGTTCCCCATTCAAAAGTCCCCCATTTTTTCCATTTTATTACGTTATATGTAATGAAAAAATAAATGAGCTCAGCTCAATTTTAGCTCGTCACCCCTCTCCCCCCACCACCTACCACCAAAAATATACAATTTTCGTTTTTATTTATGTTTTTAAGTAAGATGCAACCAATTTAAAAATTTAAAAAAATTCATACGCACATTTTGTTTCCTAAAAAGCATATAACTTTTGTTTGGAAGTGGCTGCAGCTCTTATTTTTTTTTATTTTGTGTATTTGTTCAAAAACTATATCTCTGATTTGTTTCAGATTTTCTCGTATGGTGCGCCATTTTCAAAGATTTGAAAAACTCTTTTTTAAAGATTTTGTTTGGGGTTTTATAGGTTGGATATATTCTAAATAAAATGAGGCCTTTATGACATTTTAAAATCCAAAATCTTCCAAAAAATCATGTTTTTCACGGTTTTTAAGGGTTTTAGCGAGGTTAAACATATTTTTATGACATCGACATAACCTGAATCAATTTTCTAATATTTTTGAAGGATGAGCAGACATAACCTAAAAATTTATTTTTTTTTCGAAAAAAACGTATAACTTTTTTTCGAGGTACTTAGTCCTGCAAGTCCAATTTTTTTTCATTTTGTGTATTTGATCAAAAACTATATCTCAGATTTTCTTCTCAGATCTGTTTTTTAGCTGTTTTCGGAAATTTTCTCAATTTTATAGATTATCAGAATAGATCAAATTAAAGTTTTTGTAGGTTATATATATTTTAATTTAAATGAGGCTTTTAGGGTATTCAAAAAGAGTTTATCATGTTTTTCAAGATCGATACAAATCAGTTTTTTAATTTTTTACGTTTTATGTAATAATAAAATAAGACAGCGCGTTACCCCCTCTCTTAATTCCCCAAAAACATATTTTTTTAATTTTTTTTGTAGCTTACAATCGATTTAATAATTTCAAAAAATTCACACGCATAGTTAAGACTTTTTTAAAACTTTTCTATTTTTTATAGATCCGTAGCATAAGTGTACATACCATAAAACGAATTTTGTTTTAAAGAGCTCATAACTTTGTTTCGGGATGACTGCAAGTTTTTTTAGCAGACTAAAATTGCGCTGGGCAATATTGTTTAATAACATACAAAGTAAAAAATGAAAAAAATTGATTTCTGGAAGAGAGGGCATTGTACTCTTTCAAGTACAATCTATTAATTTACGACCAATTTGTCTGTCAACATGCTATATTCACAACCAAGTTGTTCCTCTGTAGACAATTTAAGATTAATTTAGATTTACAAAAACAATATCGTTACTCATCCTATGTTCAAGTACCTAATATAGTCCGCCCTGTATAGCCAACCGTGTAGGTCCGATTTCGTTTAATTTTTATAACAAGTCTACAAACACAGCCACCTCCAACGACACGTAAAATCTATAATTAAAAGAGCAAGCAGTAAGCACGTTCTACATTACAAGAACGAAACAATAAAATAGACCATAACAATTACTATTGTTTTCTGAAGTAATTTTTGTTTGACTGTTAACATTTTATAGGGAGTAGAAATCATTATCGCAACCATAAACGGCCGTTATTGTTAGACAGAACGAAAGAGAATAGAAATCATGCTGTATTTTTAGTGTTGTTATTCTGCAATATTAGTTTATGATACGGAGAATGAACTGCAGATAAAAAGTATTCAGTTAAAACTTAAGTATAAATCTTAATCCATTTTAATCAATGGATAATGATTTTCTTTTCTTTAATTGCTATGCAGAGTCGATTTGCATTTCTCCTATAGTGTCTTACCATCAATTTTTCTAAGTGTTTTCATCTCTGCTGTTTCTAGCATCCTTTTTGTCCTCTTTGTGTCAGTTCTTGTTTCTGTCGCGTCTGTCTTTATTGGTCTGATGACTGTTTTGTAAATTCTGCCTTTCTTTTCCCATATTTTTATTTCTCCATATTGTTTCATTCAGGCAGCCTCCGGCTCTGAATATTTAAACTTCATCACTCGTTCTATTATCTGACCTTCCAGCTCTAATTTACATCTTAGTAAATTTGCTGAGGTAACCATGCATTTTGTCTTTTTTGTGAAAATTAAGATGTTAAATTTTCTGGCAGTTATATTAAATTGGTGCAGCATACGTTGTAAATCATCTTCACTTTGAGTGAGTAGTATTGCGTCGTCTGCATAGCAGATTAGTTTAAGTTGTTTTTCTCCCATTTGGTATCCTTATTTAGTTCTTACTTTTTTATTATTTGATTCATAATCGGGTTGAACAATACCAATATTAGTCTGTCTAAATGAACTATCGAATCCTTTTCCACCATGCCTCTCGGCCTTTCCCTCATAATTTCGTCGCCCACTAAATTTTCGGAAATTTTTCTTTTTTCTGATTTTGGTATTTGGTTAAAGGGGTTCTGAACTTCGTCATAGAACAAATCTCTCATTTCCTGCGGATTATCACTAATATAATTGATGTCTTTAATGTTTTTCTGGTATTTCTTGTAAAATAGTAGGTATATATTGACGGAAGCTACAATTTCCCCGAAAACCTTCAAGCATGTCGTCAATGCAGCAATACATCCCAACTGTATAGCAAGCCATGCACTTTTCCAAAAACTCGTCGAAAACTTTTCTAATGGGTGCAAGTTTGTCATGCTTTTGTCGTTCTGCTCTGGACTAGATATGATCAAAACGACTAGATATATAGTCGCTTCTTTGACATAACTGTCCGCAAACATTCAGGAGCTGTTCCATTTGTAGCCCAAAGATCGTCCAGATTTCGAGAAGCTTTGAAAGCAGCTAAGTATAACAAGCCAAATAGTGCTCTAATTTCATCACTGTTGATACACACTGCATCCCTTTCACGGGAAAACTGGTTGCGTATTTTTTGCCTTTAAATCAAATCTGTTTCGGTGAATCTTTGACAATGTGATTGAGGTTATGTTATATTTTAAACTCTAAGTTTAAGTGTATTTTAAAGCAATGTCTAGTCGTAAAGCTATTTTAGATAACGCGATGTCAAAAGGTGCCACAAAGAAAATTGTTCAGAAAGGCGATTGGAAAGAAAACGTGGCAAAATGTAAGAGACAGAGTGAACAAGAGTATGAGTCAAAATTTACGGGAAAAACTGTAGAGTAAGATATTTTCTGTTATTACTGTTGTCCGTGTTAGGTAGAAAAATGTTTTACAAAAATAACTTCGCAAGATCAAAAGTGTTTATTTGACTCTTTTTCTGACAAAGGTTCAAAAAAACAACAAGACACTCTTCTAGCAGGTTGTATGGCATTAGGGAAACCCCCATAAAAGTATAGAAAGATAAAAAATCCCAAAATTAGTAGACAGTATCACTGGAAATACAAGCTTCTGGTTGTGATCGTGGTCGTTCCTTTTTTGTTGACTTATACCAAGCAGGAGTGAAGCGTGTAAGAATATTACAGAAACAATTGTCGAGAAAACTCCACTTGATGAAAAACGTGGAAAACATGAAAACCAAAGAAAAATTTCAGATTATGTTTATTCTATGGCTTTAGAACATTTAAAATATATCCCACATAATCCAAGTTATTACACACCTGGAAAAATAAATAGATGGTACTTCGACGACCCAGACCTAACGATTCAGAACATTTTTGAGCTGTTTCAAAAGTTGTTTAAAGACACTACTGGGAATAATCTTACCATCAAGAAGACTGGCACATGTAATTATTGTCGTGAGTGTAAAATCAAACTATAAAAGAACCGAAATGATGAATGCCGTATTGATTACAATCTCCATAAAAAGAGTCTCGAGGCATATTCCAAAATCTACCATTGCCAAAGCTCAGCATAAAAAAACAGTTCTATGAAAGACTTTTATGGATGTATTCAATATAGACGTGCGTAATGATGGATCATAATATGTATATTCCTTCATAGAATCTCAAAGTAAAAAGGGAGCAAGTAGTGTTGCTTCATTCATCTTTGATTGTATTCACAATACAGATTACTTTATAAAATTTGAAGTACGATATTATTACTTTTTGATACTGATATAAAATACAGGGTGTTCTATTTAAAATTACCAAGAAAATAATGTATTTGCATTTTGACTTACCCTGTATTTGATTTAACGAATATTATGAAAACGAATATGTTTTATAATTTTTAACAATTATTTAAAAACTATGGTTGCAATAGATCAATGTTCCTATACTCCTTTTTAATTGCACAGGGAGTTAAACTTGATACGATTTTCGGGTAATATTGGTTATAACTTTTTAGATACCCCGTATAACATAATAACACTTTACATTGTTGTGATGTGGAAGTGAAGCCGATTTTAAATTTAAAATAAAATACAGGGTGTTCCATTTAAAAAAACATAAGTTTGGTATGCCACCATCTTATGGAACACCCTGTAAGATTGTAACTAATTTTAAAATGTGGAGTTTAAAGCTGCCTACAATTTTTGTTAATAACTTTTTTTAGTAATTTTTACTATAACAGATCTACTGAGCTTCCTCAAACTAATCAATCACCCTGTATAATATGTGACTGGGATGCAGCACTTCTTCCTTATTTTTTGACGAAACCTGTGAATAAAGATTATTGTGGAACACTGTAAACCTTGTGGAACACTGGCTGCTTCTAAAACCTACTTTGAAATGTATACCCCTTTTAAATATGCAAAAACGTTGCCACTTGACCTTACTCTTACAACTTTGCCTTGGGTTTCTATTAATCAGTCTAAAATAAAAGACGTAAGAGACTTGTTTCAGTTCTTAAGAGAAGAAAGTAGAAACTTCTACAAACTTTTATTTCAAGAAAGCACACCGGCTGGTAAGGACAACGACTTTCTTCTGCAGAAGACGTTTTGAAATGCCAAATGTGTTCTTCAGACGAAGGGCTTATGTAAACTTGTTTTAATCCTCTTCATTTGAAAAGAAAAAGGACACATTTTATAAATGTGTTCTCTATTATTTTTTCAATGGATAGAAAATTCTTAAAACTAAAACACTTAAAAATGGAAGTGTTGGTTCGCCTTAGGAATGGATGTTAAATCTTTGAATGCTTGCTTCTCAAAATAAACTTTTAGCAGATAGGCCCTTCTTCTAACCACTGCCCCGATTGTGGATTTTAAAATAATATTTATCTAACCGTAGATAATGCAATCAGTGCAAACAGCTTCAAGCGATCGGCGTTGGTGGGTGATCTGCAGTTTCAATATAAAATTATTGCCATTTGCAATACGCGGACCGCTCAAGCAGTTCGAGTGCGGTCGCAGCCAAAACCCAAAAATACAGTTTGCGTGCGGTGGAGTATTGCCATGTTGCCGGCAGTAAAGAGCTGCTAGCTCGACATATCCCACACGAACCGCATAGAGTCTGCTGTCTGCTCCGACTGCGACTAGTGCGACTGCTCACTGCTCGTCGCGTCCTCACACTCGCTCCTCTCTCTCGCGGTTTCCGATTTGATCATTCATTCATAGTTATATGTATAACCAATTTTACAAAACTACAGAATCTTTATTTATACGTCCATGATAGTACTTGATTTTAAGAAAAATGCAAAATATAGTTAATTTGGACGATAACTTGTTTATAAATGAAATTAAATCACAGAAATGTATATGGAATTATCGATGTGAAACATACAGCGATAGAATTCTTAAAAATCGTGCTTGGACTGCTGTTTGTGAGAAGTTTGTAACGAATTTTGATGCCAAAACTGAGAAGGAAAAAAACGAAATTAGTAAGTACATATAATGTTTAATTTCAATTTACTCTTCTGCTTCATCTTATTTGAGTACCGTGCCCAAGTTTTAGGCGTGGGTAGCTTCCATGACGATTTGCCGATATCGTTCTCGATCTTGCGCTGCATGTAATAATTCATCTGCTGATAAGCCAGTCCATTGACGAAGGTCCATCTTGCGCTGCATGTAATAATTCATCTGCTGATAAGCCAGTCCATTGACGAAGGTTTCTGAGCTATGAGTAGTTCTTTCTACCAATTCCTCTTCTTCCGTCGATATTTCCGATGAGTATCTACTGCATTATCCTGCATTTGCTTCCTCTCATTATGGGCCCCAGATATTCGTGTTTTCTCTTTTTATCATCTTTATTAAACACCATCACCTTGACCTACTCTGTTCAAGACGTCTCTGTTTGAAATGTGTTGAACCCATGATATTCTGAGCGATATTCTTCTACGATATAACCACATCTCGAAGGCTTCTAATTTGTTCATCATGTTAACCTTCATAATCCAGGTTTCACATCCATACAGTAATACAGGATACACATAGCATTTTAGGAACTTAATTCTTAGCTGTAAGTTCAGCTGAGAATTGCTCAGAATAGATCTAAGTTTCATAAATGCTCCTCTTGCAATTTCTATACGAATTAAAATGGTTAAATTCTGTTAAATTCTGTTATATATATATATATATATTATATATATATATATATATATATATATATATATATATATATATATATATAAATGAGGCACTCTCACTGTGGAGAAGAAAGTGCTGCAATATGGGCATCCCAATCGGAGATGATAGATTGTACACGATACATTTCGCTGACGACCAAGCCATTCTAGCTGAAGACGAGAGTGATATAAGCTACATGCTTAGAAAACTGGAAGATGAGTACACCAAATGGGGCCTCACAATTAATATACAAAAAACTGAGTACTTAGTTGTAGGAGAAAAATCAGAAAGCCTACAAATCGAAATGGGAACTATAAAACCAACAGACAATTTTAAGTACTTGGGAGTCCAAATAACATCAAAAGCAGGAAGTAGCGAAGAAATACATTCCAGGATTGGCCAAGCAAGATCAGCCACCAGACAGCTACACGGACTATTATGGAATAAAAAAATAACAAAAGAAAATAAAAGAATTTATAAAACAATAATAGAAAGTATTGGACTGTATGGCGCCGAACTCTGGGAAATAAACCAAAGAAACAAATCAAAAATTAAGGCCATGGAAATGAACTGGAGACTGAATAACTGGAGACGATGTTGTTAGCTCACTAGACTTGATAGGGTGAGAAACGAAGATATTCGGAGAGAAATGGAAATCGATCTAGACATAATAGACACAATCGAAGCCAAAAGACTTAACTGGTATGGACACCTTCAGAGAATGCCGGAAAATAGATGGCCAAAAAAAATAGAAGAATGGACTCCGCCAACTAGAAGAAAACGAGGTAGACCAAGACGATCCTGGAGAGACGATGTCGACGATGCAATGACCGCCAGAGATCTAACAACTGAAGATTGCTTCGATAGAAAACGCTGGAAATTAGGATGCGAGAAGCGGCGCCAGCTGTAAAAGACTCGCTTGTTATATATATATATATATATATATATATATATATATATATATATATATATATATATATATATATATATATATAATATATATATATATATATATAAATTCTGTTATCGGTTCATTATTGACAATTAGTTGTATAGCGCCGAGGTTTTGTTTACTAACTGCAAGTAACTTTGTCTTTATTGTATTTATGCTTAGTCCGTTATTAGAGCATTCTCTAGTGACTCGATCTATAAGGAATTGAAGATCTTCGATACTTTCAGCCATGATTGCGGTGTCATCTGCATATGTATGATGTTATTAATAGTTTCTCTCCTGATTCGATTTCCACATTGCCCTTCCAAGGCTTTGTTAAAAATTATTTCTGAGTAAACGTTAAAAAAAGTTGGGGACAACACGCAACCCTGTATGAATACCTCTTTGAATACAAATTTTGTCTGTTTCTTTGCCGTCTACCAGAAAAGAAGCTTCTTGATTCCAATATAGATGTTGTAAAAGTCTCAGATCTTTATCATCTATTCCAATTATTTCTAGATATTCAAACAGCCTACAATGTTGAACCCTATAAAACGCCTTCTCAAAATCTATAAAACAGACGTAAATTGGTTTATGTACTTCCCATGATCGTTAAAGTAGTGTTAGCACTGAGAACAAAGTTTCCCTTGTTCCCAATCATTCTCTGAAACCGAATTGTTTATTTCCCATTGTGTCTTCACATTTCTGCTTGCTTCTATTAATAATTACCCTAAGAAGTAGCTTGATAGAGTGACTCATGAGACTAATTAGTCTAAAGTCTTTACATGATGGGGTATAAGGTTTTTTTGGAAGTGGGATAAATGTAGACTCCAACCATATTTGTAGCAGTGTTCTAGTTTCGTATACGTGTTTATAAATGTTTGTTAGTTCTGAGACATTGTCGTCGTCTAGAAGTTTGAGCCAGTCTAATGGTGTTTGGTCAGGGCCTGGAGATTTCCCATTTTTGCTTTGTTTGATGGCTTTCTCTACTTCTGCTTTTAAAATACTAGGACCAGTATTCATATACTTTGTGACGTTAAGTAGTGGCCTCATATCCAGGAAGAGCTCTTTTATGTAGTTGGTCCATTCTTCCTTTTTTATTGTTTAACTCGAGAATAATTTTACCTTTGGAGTTTCTTATAAAGTGAGGAGTTCCTTTTCTCTGAGTGTAGGTAATTTCCTTAAGTTTTTTGTGTTTATTAAACTCGTCATGTTTTCTTTGTAGTCCTTCCATCTCACGACATCTTTGTTCCATCCAATCCTCTTTTGCTCGCTTAATCTCGTATCTTATTTGTCCTATATCGAGTCTCATCTTTACTTCTACAATTTTTTTTACTGAATAAGGTCTAGTATGTTATCGGTCATCCAATTCTTTTTCTTTACTCGCTTTTTTCCGATTTTAAAACTTCGTTTGCTATGGTAACCACGGCGGAATTCATTATGTCTATATTTTGTCCGATATTTTCTTGTTCAGATCTTTCTAGCTGTTTTTTAATTCCATGATTTTCCATGATTCCATTTCTTAGGAGTCGGATTATTATGTTTTTTCTGAGCAGTCGGGGTTTTTATTATTTTTAATTTTAGTTTGAATCCAGCACAGGGCAGATTATGATTAGTTGCTGCATCTGCAGTTGGGTTGTTTTTGCAGATGTAATACTGTTTCTAAACCTTCTGTTAATCATAATGTAGTCGATTTGATTTCTAACTAACTTTCCTTCTTGATCAGCTGGAGATTTCCAGGTATATAGTCGTCTTTTAGGTTTTTGAAACAAAGTATTTGCTATAATGCAATTCTCTTCTTGGCAGAACTGTATTAGTTTCTGCCCTCTTTCGTTCCTTTCTCCAATTCCATACTTTCCGTTTATATCTTGTGTTATTTCGGCATCAACTTTTGCGTTGAAGTCTCCCATAATAATCGTAGCTTCATGTTTTTTTCTGCTCCGGAGAATTTGTTTAATTTGATTGTAGAGTTGCTAAATTTCTTCATCTGGTTTGTCAGCTGTTGGTGCATAGACTCGTATTATATTAATATTTCTTAATTTATTTTGCAGCTGTATCATCATGATGCGATCATTGAAAGGAACGAAATTTCTAATACAGTTACGAATTTCTTTTTTGACTCTAGCCATTTCATCTCACAGATACCTAGGATAGGAGTGTCTAGTCTCGCCATTTCCAGCTGAATATTGTGTAACTTCGCGCCTTCAAACATAGTTGTGAAGTTCCACTTAGTTATCTTGTGGACTTCCATGACACGGGGTTTTCGTGGGTTTACGACCTGGGAGGCCCCGTGGTCTAGTTGTGACCTTCCTTCCCTCCTTGGATTCCAAAGTCCATGATCATTAAGAGTATACATACTTTCTTCCTCTGTCATGGAAAGCTGTACTAGACATATCCACAAGTATCTTTAATGTAATGGTTTCTCCTGGCCCTCTACATCCTGATACCGTTGACCATTTCTTGATTCTTCCTTTGAGACCGATTTCTTGGTCTCAGGACAACAGAGTGCCCTACCACTCACCAACTCATCCGCCCGAAGCTGTTGGACAGTAAGTGGGAGATTGCTTATACCGGTAATCACTTGGTCTCTATCTGCATTGGCCATCTATAGATAGATGTTGCCCATCTTCTTCCACGTAGAGGTTGCAGATTTGGATTTTTCTTTTATTGGGATTAAGACCTTTTGGCATTTCCTAATCACTCCAGAGCTTTAGAAGATTGGAAGCCAATTTTGATATTTTGCGAATTCTCTTCAGTCAAATCTACAAAACACGTGGTTTTCATATAGTGCCAAATATTTTTGCATACATCTTTGACGATGTTTCCTATTGTGGATGTTGAGATTCTATAGTTACATTTTTATTCAACAAAAGTTCACCCTGTTGTCACGTATCTTAAAAAATATAAATCATGTTTATTATTTTATTTTCAGTAAAAGTTCTACAGAAAAAATGGAAAGTTTTAAGAGACGGGTTCAATCGCTACGTAAGCAATGCAAAAAAAATAAAAAGTGACTCAGGACCAAATAAAAAACGCCAATATGTATACTATCAACAGCTATCATTCTTATTAGCATTGTCAACTGATAAAGCAGATGCTATAAATAGTATAGAAGAAGAAATTGAGACTGATGACGTACTAACAGCCAGTTTGGAAGATTCGACATTTCAACGAGGCCAAAAGCGAAGCAGTACAACGAAAGAAGATAATTTAATGGACCAATTGACAGTCAATTCAAACAGAAAATACACGGAAAATCTGCCAACGAAAGAAGCAGATGATGATAAATTATTTCTCTTATCATTACATGGTGATTTTAAGAACATTTCAGATGATTATAAATTAGATGCCAAGATAGAAATGCTAACAGTTTTAAAAAAATACAAAGAATTATCGTCTGAGAAGAATTTACACTCCAACTAGTCCATTCATGCGTTAATCTCGCAGTTCATCAATTATCCACCACACTACAGGCATATCAATCATATCATTGTCACAGTACTCGCAGTTACACTATGGTGATCTCAGTAGTAGCTGCAATACTGGTCCTAGTACTTCTGGGTACGGTGCTGGGACCTAATACTTCTGGGTTCAGTACAAAACCTATTAGTACTGGACTTGATTGTACTACTACGAACATTAAACATACCAATCTGCCTCCTAGCACTACGAAAACTGTGGAAACTAGCCTGTTGCCACTTAGATCTGTCGATAGTGAGATGCCCCAGTCATCAATACATAGCATTTTCGAATAGTTGAAATGTTACGATATGTAATTGGATGTAATAAAGCAATTTTTAAAAACATGTTTTTTCTTTCTTTACCTCACTGCAATCCGTTCTTCAGGTGAAATGCACCCACATTCTACAACCTTTTCTATGCCTTTGTTTACGCAATAACAAAATGAGAAGTAGTCTTTCTTTGTCTGAATCCATGTTGCTGCTGATTGAATAGGAGGAGTGGAGTAGTAAAAGAAAACAGGAACAAAGAAAGTGTAGCCTAACTAGTAAATAAAGGTACCAAAATCACATCAAAGAGTATTATTATAGTATATACCAGAAAGAATTGGTAACAATAAAGATAAAAATGGAGAAGGAAAACCTGAACATTATCGGGAAGAATCTAACAACAAGGAAAACGTTTTATGACGAAGTAGTAGAAGATGATATAATTGGAGGATTTTACCGCTCGAATAGGCAATTAAGTACTACCCGGTATTAAGTAAAAACATAACAAAAATATGAAGAACTGATGATAAACTTCTGCACGAATTAAGAATAAACAATACATTTTTTGACCACAAAGACCAACACACATATACATTCAATAACACCCGTTAACAAAGATCTATGATAGATTGCGTTATAACCAACAGATATATCTATCGAAAATAATCGACGTAAGATGCCTCAACTCAGCAGATGTAGGTAGCGACCACATCCTAGTATTATGATCACAGGACAAAAAAAAAAGGAGGTAAGTCATAGATTTTTCTTATATTGGGGAGAGGGTCTCTTCGGTTACTTCCGCTCCTGGCCTGCTGAATTTTGGTTACGCCACTGGGGGTACTACTATATTATTATGAGATTCAATATTAAGGGATATAAATATTGCATTTCAAAAATATTGTAATTAATTATAGCTATAATTAACATTGCATAACCACAATCTACTTGATGTGATATCGTTTGCCGGAAACTAATCAACTGATAATAAATCTATAAAAAGTTCTTGCAATATAAGTAATTGTTTCGTATTTATTTTCAATTTACACTTACCAACATAAGTCATGCAGTCATTTTTCCTTTTTCTTTTGGTTGTTTTTGTGAACACGGACGCAGACATCATCAGAAAAATTGTTTACTAAATGTCAACATATTAAATCAAAGAAATTACTAGGCATTACACGAAGAAACATTTTACCTTACAAAATCTCCAGATATAACAGTAATCAAATGCGGCTAAATAGTAGCATCATACGACCATATAGATTTGGTGTTCGAAATGGCAGACAAATTCGTTTTCTAGAATTCCGTAAACTATATAAACTAGTAGTAACGCTAGTTACTTGCAGAGTGAACAAAAAAAGAAACGAAAGACAACAAAGAACAAACAAACTGGACCTGGAAAAACTGAAGATTCAGGAATGTAGAGAGAAAGAATAGAGAAGAGAAGTTCGAAGAAGAAGTCGCAAATGAGTTGAGGACGCTAGAACTGTGCTTCATAGAGGGCAAATGTAATATATCAAAACAGCAGTACTGACAGCGGCAGCGTCCACCCTGGGAAACAAGAAAAGGGTGCAGACAAGCAATAGGGGAAAGAAATGAAGGACATAAAATGTATATAAGAAGAAGAACACGGGAAAGACGAACACTGGAAAGATATGTAGAAATAAAAAAAAGAACTTGAAAATGAACTAATAGAAAAAATGGATGAAAATTTCAAAAACAACGAAATTAGAGGGGCTTACGAATACCTAAAAAAGATAAAAACTAGGTATAAACCTCAAACAAGTCTATGTAAAGATGAAAGTGGGCAAATAATGTGTGGTTAACAGAAAGTCACAGAAACCTGGAAGCATTATTTTCAGAGCCTATGTGGTGTACAAGTAGACATAGAAGATGGAAAGGGTACAAACTACGTAGAAGATAATGAAGTAGAGAATGGAGTAGAAGTTCCAACCATAGAGGAAGTTCTCGAAGCCTTATTAAGGCCCAAAAAAACGATAAAGCCCCGGAAGTTGACGAAATACCAGCACAATTGTATAAGGTAGGTGGCGAAAACCTAGCAAGTTACATCCAAGCCCTTATCAAAGACATAATGGCAAGAAGAGAAAATACCTGACGACTGGAAGAAAAGTATAGTGTGCCCGATCTACAGAAAGGAGACAAACTTCAGTGCAAAAACTACCGTGGAATTTCTTTTCTATATACAGCATATAAAGTCCTCACGTATATTATAAACCAAGGGCCCGCGTAGCGCAAGCGGTAGTGTGCTTGCCTCGCATGCCGGTGGTCGTGAGTTCGAATCCTACCGCCGGCAAGAACAACTAGGCATTTTTAAAATGTCTATAGGCCCCAGGTCGACTCAGCCTGAATAAAATGAGTACCTTGGGTAAAACCAGGGGTAATAATAGGCGGTTGAAGCGTAGCACTGGCCATGTTACCTTCCTTGTATACCGTAGGCCCTAGATATAGCAGACTACCCTGCTATACTCCCAAAGCCGCGTGCGGTATAAAACGGGAGACTATTATTATTATTATATTATAAACCAGCAACTCCAACTACTAGCAGAAAATATTATTGGAGAGTATCAGATAGGCTTCCGACGGGAAAGATCGACACTGGATCAAATATTTACAGTCAAACAGATCTTGAGTAAATCATGGGAACATGACATACGACTCAGTTAAAAGAAACAAGCTTTACAATATATTGGTTGAATTGGCAATACCATACAAGTTAATTAGACTTATTAAAGCCGCCATGGATGAAACTCAGGCATGTGTTCGAATACAAAACCACCGGACAGACTTTTTCAAAATTTCGCAGGGACTAAAGCAGGGAGATAAGCTGGCCCCAACTTTGTTTGGCGGGGAATCCTACTGATCAACCGAACGGTTCAACTGGCCGCTTATGCCGATGATATTAATATTATGAGCAGAACATCATCAGAAGCACAGGAAACATACACAGAGTTAAAAACGCAAACAAAAAGCTAGGTCTGGAAATTAACACAAAAAAAAAACAAAAATAATGATACAGACGAGAAGCAATATAGTCCCACAAAACATTATATATAAATATGGCATTAAAACGGTTGAACAGTTTACATACCTAGAAGTAGAAGTACAGTGGAACTTGGTTATAGCGTCATTGAAGGGTCCAATAAAAAAATGACGCTATATCAGAGTGACATTAAAAAAGAGGTTGAGAAAAATAAAATTTTAATGAGGGAAAATAATATTACAGCATTATTGGGTATAGTAGATATATTATTTGTTAATTACTCTGGGCCTAAACATGATAATTTAACATAGTTTACGATATACCGAAAATATAACATTTACTTAAGTCAAATTTAAAAAAAAAAACAAGAATCATTTTAGGATAAAAAACAATTAAAAAACAAAACTGCTTCTTTGGTATTTGTGGATGCCTCCCTGAACTGGTAAAACCTGGATATGGTCTCAGCAGCTCTCATTGCTTCTTGGATTGTAGGTCAAGCAACGATGTCTTCTTCTTCTTCAGCTTCATCGACATCCATTTCCACGTTTTGCACCAGTTCAACAATTTCTTTATCACTTAGGACTTGAAATGTTTCCACCTCATCGTCTACTGAAATGTAGGAGTCAAGATCAGTTCCGAACGCTCCCTGATTCACATTAAATTTTTTTATCCACTCTGACAAAGCAGTTCGTCATCTTTATCAACGTCCTCAACATTGAGAGAAGCTACAGTCAATTTTGCTTGACGAAAACACTTATGAATTGTCACTGACGTAATCGCACTCCACGCATTGTCTAAAAACTGAACAGCATCCAGGATGGTAATGTTCACAGGTTCTCCATTATCCATACAAAAAATCATTCTTTTTAAAAGCTGTTTTCGATAATGGCACTTTAAACTTCTTATGACTCCCTGGTCCATAGGCTGCAAGACACTCGTGCAGTTAGCTGGTAAGAACACTAGATTTATATTGGTCAAATTAAGTTTGGGATGGGCTGCACAGTTGTCAACTAGGAGAAGAATTTTTCTTTTTTTGAAAGAGAGTTCCTTGTCCCACTTCCTCAATTCTTCTTCAAAAATAGCAGAAGTCATCCATGCTTTTTTATTGGCTGTGTAGTTTACAGGTAGTGTTTTAATGTTTTTGAAATATCTAGGATGTAAACTTTTCCCAATAACCAAAAGCTTTCTTTTCTCTGTACCTGTCATATTTGCACAAACAAAAGCCGTCACTCTTTGCTTGGAAAGTTTTCCACCGACACATTTTTGATTTTTGAAATTTAAAGTTTTGTCTGGCGTTAATTTATAAAAGACACCTGTCTCGTCACCATTAAAGATATCTTCATCTTTGTATGGTTGCCTTTGTAGTGGCCATGTTTTTTGTAACCAGTCACTTGTTACGTTCTCGTCCACACATTTTGCCTCTCCAACAATTTTCGAGAAGGAAATTGAGTGCCTGGCTTTAAACCGATCTAACCAGCCGTTAGAGCATGTGAAATCTTCACCAAACAATTTTCCGAACTCTGTAGCTTTCTCCTTTAAAAGTGGCCCGGACACAGGGATATCAGAACTGCGACACTGCTTGAACCATTTGAGTAGAGCTGAATCTACAACACCACGAATGCACTTCCTAATCTTTTTAACATTGTTTCCGTCCTCTTTAAAGGCTTTTAAAATTTTGTCCTTGTTTTTTATGA